ATACATTGTTATTTTGTGGCAAGAACCCATTATAATAAAGTGTATGTAAAAAGTATTTCACTTAACGTTTTTTCGGTAAACGTTGTGTTATTTAGAAACCTAACCTCGACGTTAAACGAGGACTTACTGCACTGTTATTAGGTTAAACCTCAATAAGTATGATTGTATATTAATTATTAGAAAAAATTCTCGAGAAGAGTATTTGATTATTGGTCTATGATAAAGCATAATTTTAACATTTTTGTCCGGGCATAAAAATTCCCGGTTCCACCTTTGCTCATCTTTATAGAATATCATGTACCCATCAAATGAGTTAGGTATGTTCTTCTAAAAAAGTTGTCTAGAACAGCGATCTTCAACCTTTTAGACATCGCGGACCACTAAGTCCAATTTTTATAGTATTTACAATTTATATTATAAGTCTCGTATCCAGATCCAGAGGTAATAGCTTTTATATACATAATTACCGTTCCCCTGATAAGTATTATACCAAAATAATAAAAAAATACATTTTTAAAATAACAAAAAATATTTATTTTTTTTTATTTAATACGAAAGTTATAAGGTACTGTAATTATTACGAATTAATTTAAGCTTAGTAGCAGTCTATATAAAAGGTGTATAGATATTATAAATATTAATCTTAATGTGACATTTGTTCCTGTTTGTTTTGAAGAAGTTCGTGCAATCTTGAGAGAATTTGATAATTCCAGGAATTTAGTTTTGAGTGTGGATTTCAGTGGCGTATTTATTGGTGGGGAGTTAGGGGCATGGGCAGATAGACTATTTTTGGCCTACCGGGAAATTTTAAAAATTTAAAAAACTTAAAAAAAAAAGTCGTTTTCAAATACATTACTATATGAATTTTATTAAGTACCACATCAAAACAAAGCATAACACACAATCCAACAATGTATAACAAGACATATTTTAAAAATCATTTATTTAGTTTTTAACTTTAAAATAATAATATTCCACCAAATACAGGGCTTCTAGCTCCTAATTTATTAATAATGTGTTCAGAATCAATTTTTTTGAGAATATCTTTCTCTACATTCATTAACAACATACTCTCTAATACATTCTGATCTATTGTATTTCTTAAATAAGTTTTATATTATTATAATTTTGTTTTTTAATTTAACTAACTATTAATATTATTTCAAAATTGAATACAATACAATTAATGCATCTATTTACCTTCTAGCTTAGTATAAGTTGACAAATTGTCTGTTATATTAGCATCTCAAAAATGCAAAATATATCTATAATATAAATATACTATAACATCCATTATCAATTAAGTATGTATATCTAATTATACAAGTGTTTAAGTTAGGGTTTTATACTTCAAATAAAATTAAAAATTATAAATATAATAGACACATTCAAAACATAATTTGTATCTTAAATATTTTAAGTATATTTATTTGACAAACCTTACTTATTTTATACTGCTAATTGCTATCAAATGTAAAAATGATACTAAGATACATATTTAAAATATTGTGTAATTTTAGTTAATATTCCTACATAACATTATATAATTATAATAATTAATAAGCACCTATATTTCTATAGATAATTATATATTAAATAATAAAAAAAAATTATTATTATACAGTATGGCACCCATAGTTATACCAATGTGAGAACTTGATTTTACAAAATTTAATTTTTTTTTGCTTAGGGTTTTGACCTTCCTTTATAAGCAAATCTTTCTCCTTTTTTTTCTTTTAGCACTTCCACTTTTATGTATTTTTTTTGGAATTGCCCATTGAATAAAATAAAACAGCAGCACGTAAACGTCTGTTTTAACTGTATGTATTATGCAATATATAAGAACTATGGAATATAGTATGTCACACTGATCAACTATACAACTTAAACTATTAACAAAAATGACTAACGAGTAACTGCGAGTAACGTTATGTCTGCAATAGTGCAATAAGTATATAATAATTAGAGATCTACAATTTGTGATAAGATACCAGTACCTATAATATATATATAGTACATATAACAACATATTTGTAAGTTGTAACCCACCTCACCAGTTATAAGTTTCAGCCGTGACCACTACCCGCAGCCATCTAGTAATCGATGTTGTAGTTGGTGGTAGCGCGGCGGCTGCGAGTCGATAAGAAATCTTTTGTAAATAGTAATAGATATAAGATTATAATATTTTATTTTAAAATTCAAATTTCTATCGTAGGTAATTGCATAATAAAGGGCCCCATTACCAAAATACGAAGGGGGGCCCACCGGGAAATGCCCGGTTTCCGGTAGGCCTATCCGCCCATGGTTAGGAGTTTCCATCCCCCCAAAGAATTTCCAGACCTCAAATTCTTAAATTTCAATAATTTTAAATTTTTTAGTTTTGTATATTCGAATAAAGGAAAAATATTGAAATTTATAATATTTTTTTAATTTTATAAAACTATATATTATAAAAACTAATAAAACTCGGGTACGATAATATTAGTATTTTCAACGGTGCAAACCGAAACATATACACTTCACAGCCTAATTCCTATTATTGTAGCTTGTAGTTAACAAAAAATTGTTGTCTACTAATTGTAAAGATGGTTGAATGAAAATTTATCATTATTACTGTACCTACAATTATTCCATGGATCGTTTTTCTTGAAAATTCTTGAAAATCTAATAATAATGATTAGATATTCTCGATGGCCAAATTTTATTCGAGTATCTCATGTTATTCTTGTTATCATTTTATATGTACTCGTATATATATTTTATTAAATGTTTCTTTTACCTTTTATTTTCATAATCAACCAAAAACTAAATTAATAATACATTTATATATATATATATAATTTTATATTTTCAATAAAAAGATAATAAAACAGATAAAAATATAATTTTGACCATTTTATACTAATTTAGAAAAAAAAGGACAACAAATTTTGCAACTATGCCTGAAAGATGTCCAACCACGTTTACAGCACTGTCTCTACATTACAATCAAAATTCGACTAAATATTTCAATAAAAATAAAAGTTAAAATGAAGATTAGATATTTAAAAGCATTTTCCAGGAATACTCATTATACAAAACACGATAACGACGCATTTAAAGATAATCTTATACATTCAACCACTCGGCATTAATATACCTATATGTCATGTAGGTATAAATGTATAGTCGCTAAATATTAGATCTTTTTATACTTTTATATCATGGGATAATGATTGCATGTTATATATTATATTATTATTATCATTACGTATTTATTTTTATTTGCCGTTTACCAAACTGAATCTATAACATAATACAATAATTTGTCACATAGTTGTTATATGTCACGGGCTCGCTGAGTTAAGAAAACTATTAATAAATAATATTACAAGTAACATTCAAATTTCATGCGAACTATCATTTATCCATGGACCACCGATTGGCAACCGCTTGTCTAGAACATCTAGAACAATATGGATGCAACACTATCCGTGATATCATGATACATACCAGAGCTTGAAAATAATTTTGAAATTATAGTATCAAGGATGTAGGGTGTTTCATTAAGAAATAATAAAAAGACTTAAGCTCTTGTAAACTTTATCTTCACAATTTTGATTCTAGTATGTTATAAATAATGAATATTATTGTTTAAATTGCAAAAACATGAAAATGTATATTAAAAAAGTTACGCTTGATGAATGGAATAAAAGAACACGAAATCGCGTTGTTAGTAATGATTAATGAATGTTTGTCACATTTAAATTTCGCAGTATATACAGTTAAAAAAAATAGTTGCTTGAAACTATAGCAAATCATCTTCCTCTTATATTTGTATACAACAAAGCCAAAAATAATTCAATTGAAAACATGAAAAATTCATATTTTCTACTTAGCAAATAATTCTATAATGTAATTCATCATAACCAGGACTCGGGACTTAAAGCACTTAAAATCTTTAAAATAAATGCTTAATAAAGGACTTAAAAACATCATTATAAGCACTCAAATAAGCATTTAAAAAACCTAAATTTAAACAAAAATATTTAATCAAAAAAAAAAATCTAAAATAGGAAAAATTAGCAAAAATGTCTAATTTTTCTTTTTACATGAACATGCTAAAGTAATAGATATACTTGTTAACTGTGCTGAATATAAAATTAAAGATTACAAAAAAATTTAGTTAATATTATAATTTTTTAACTAAAAAATAAAAAATTTAATAAATCTTTATATTATAAAAAAGTCAAACTTTGACTTTTAAAACATTTTGCCTTATTATTTATGGATTTTCCGAGAAATTTTCTGAAAAATAAAATTTAAACGATATTTACAAATAATTGAAAAAATTTGGGTTAGGTCAGTAGCCTACATCATCGTTTATAATGAAGCAGATATTCAAAAAATCTAATATAATTAGAAAAATTGGAAATAAGCACTTCTTTAAAAAGTTGTCGAAAAAAGCAAAAAAAACCACTTTCAAATTTCATAATTGAACATGACATGACATTCATTTCCATAACACTCTGCTATATTTTATGTCAAACCATAAAAATAATCTCCGAGCCCTGTTTATAACTATAATATGTATTCATTGTATATATTTATATTTCTTTTTAAAAAATTAACCTATTTGCAGCAATATGTAATCAGTTGAAATATTTATATTTTATTAGAAAATTAAAAATAGTAGAATATAAAATAAAAATAAATGATTTATACATTATACACTCGATTCTATGAACGGTAAGTTTTGACCGTTAATATATATATATATATATACAATAATTGATTAATAATAATCAATCATTTTTATTTAACTAATAATGCATTTATTCTTATCAATAATGTGAAAACCAAAATAGTAAATTCAACAAATATTATTTTAAAGCCGATAAGTAAAATGTATATCCAATAATTATTATATATCTCAATTCATTGATTTCTTACAAAATCAAAACCGACTAACATATACTATTATTACGCAAAAAAATATTTTCAGAACTCGGAATAGCGATATGTATGCCACTAGGTTCGTGCAGGATAACTTCAAAGACGAGCTTTTGCGCTCGAGTCAATTGTTCCATTGCTCGTTCAACTGCTTGTTTGCTTGGTACGGTTTCGAATCACGAGCCGCAATCCTAGCCACGCATCGTGGGAAGCCGGTATAATCCTCGAAAAATAAATTTATTTAAAACAACATATCTTAACTCCACTTAAATTGCTCAACATTAAATTATTCTATTATAGCGATTTCCATACTCTTTCAGCCACAAAATCTTTTTTAAGCAGTATTTTCTCGCGGAGCCTCAAGAAATATTTAGTTAAGTTTTATTTGCTTGTGTTCTACGAAACATATTACACATGATATACATTTATAAAGGAGGAAACTTAAAACGAAATAGTGAATATTTAATATTATATTTATTTACCTGGCCGGGAAATAACTGGAATTGGAATGCATATTATCTAGAATTAAAAATTATATTTGAGTAAAGGATATTTGTAATAACGCTCGTTATATATAACAATATACGCTCTTTGTTTAAATAACGATAAACAATTATTTACGTTTTTAAATATTCTATGTTAAAATTAATGGAGCCCTTAAGAAACATTTTCCAAACAAATTAAATAAATAATAGTTCTTTTGTACCTATTTCTTTTAAATTATCTGTTACTTTGTGGTATACTAGTATCATTTGATACCGATTGTTTTTTTTTTTTTTTTTAATAACATACACAAGCTTAACCTTTTTAGACTTTAGTATCCAGAACCATGAAATGCAGCTTAAATTCAACAAACCTTATTCAATGATATACCAAATGGTAAAAATTATGAAAAAATTGATTGAATTAATGAAAAATTTCGCATTGCACGAGACAAATCAAGTATATTTTAGCATTGTGTAAAACCTGTCTCTTTCCCTCTTTCTCTATTTTTCTCTTTTCTCTTTCTCTGTTTTATTTCTAGATGTAATTTCTAAATATGAGTCTTAAAATTATATAATAACAATAATAATAATTAATAAATATTATTAATCTTATTGTATTCATGTATAGATAACTTTATTTTTTTTTTTAAATACATTTGTCTCAATAATTAAAAGAATATAAAATGGATATAATTATTATCACATTTGTTAATATACATATTTCCAATACACTGATTCTGTAATTCCGATACAAAATTTAAATGATTTAAGACTATTACTAAACAGTGTAATCACTAAAATACAGTATTTAATCTGTGGTGGAAATTCCACTATATCGTTATTGAATTCATAATAAAACATTAAAAACATAAAATTAAAAAAGTAATAGAGTAAAATCGCATAAAAAATATAATATCATACGCAATGTGTTTTGTGATACAATCAGTTTTTATTTTGCTATTGATAATGAACACGTTATACAAAATTAAGTGCATTATTTCAGTTCAATTTTCATCGTTATAATTCTCGTGCATTAAATATATAGATAATACCTAGTCAAACACAATATTATCGTTCTAAAGGTTTATCGATAATATGAAATTGTGCCATTTTTTTCAATTATCATATAATATTTAATACATCATTAATCATTTTGCAAAGATTAAAACTATAATAGCGTAACATGCATTAAAATATTTATGATTGTTTAACAGTATAATCATCTCGGAGTTCAACATATAGTTGGTCTTTAATCTATTTAATAAAAATAAATTATTTTCATAGTATTACTGCAATTCTTCAAATTATTTTACAGTAAATACTTTAAATAGCTTAATTATCAGGGAACTAACATTTTTTTTTTTTTATAAATATACGTTTGCTGTTAAATGTTCACACTAAATTTTGGTACAGATTTTGCACATATCAAACTACTGAATTAACCTTAGTTTAATTTATTAAAATAGAACAAACTCAAACATTAAACTTTACAATACATTTTGAACTTGGAGTAAAAAAGTTATGGTAATCAAGAAGGGGATAACTTACCTTAAATGAATAACATAAAAAATCGACACATTCATGTACTTATATCCTTATCCAAAAAATTAATAAAAAATTGGAGAATTCAAGAAGAGTATTATATTTTATTCCGTACAACGAAAAAATGAAATCATATTGAATAGCTTTGTCTAAAAAATAATGTCTGGATTCAAACTTAATGTATAATTCGTCTATTCTATTTATGTATTCTTAATAAATAAGTCTACGTCTACAATTTCTTAAATATTATTTAAAAAACACGTGTAAATTGATTCTATAGTTTTGAAGATTATATCCCGCACTGTCATGCACTAGAACTTTTTATACACATTTAAGTATAAAGTATAAAGATTATTTGCAAATATTGAAAGCAAAAAATTAATATCATAACACTAAGCTAATGTTTAGCTTATTATAATAAAATTAAAAAACAATGAATAACACTTTATATTTTTTTTAGATAGGTACTTTCGTTAATTTGCAAATAATAATTTGATTTATTTTAGTTAAAATCTATAGAACTAATCTAAATTTCAATATATATATATATATATGACGTAAACTATTTCATGTGAGTGCATAATTATGAAAAATGTATATATATTTTTATTCGATTAAATGTAATTTTAAAAATGGTGTTCATGTATTTTTAGGTAATAAAAAACAAAAATACTAACAGTATTTTAAAAATGTATCAACAAATTGGATTATTGAATCGAAATAACCATAGTAATAAAAAAAAAAAACAAATGGAAAACAGAAATTTAGCCACACAAAAATGGCTTTAGTAGTTTTCATGTTGTTAGATAACTTTCTGAGTTGAAAACTAAAGAATGAACGTAACAATTTTGAAGAAAATAAAAACAATATTGTTGAGTTGAAATCGAAATTGTACATGAATGCACCTTTATTGTACTCGTCGTAATCTAAAAAAAAATGTAGGTGAATTTAAACCTAACAATGCCTAATGGTATCGATTGAATTTAACCTTATATTATAATATAGAGTAGCAACAAACAAAAGATGTAAACAATCAATTATTCCTCTAGTATTTATAAATATCACAATTTCGACAGTAGTACATGTCGAAATGCTCGAGAGAAATTTAATTTTGCTATAGTAATTTGAAATTGTTTTTCTCTTATTTTCGTATCATGCGAATCGAAACGAGTGTGAGTATAAATTATATATATATTTAAAATTTAAAGTCAATCGTCAACTCAAAAACTGTACTAAATAATATGCTGTCCATAAATACCTTTAATGAGATAATATTTTAACACGGCAGATTATAAAGTTTTTCAATTTCACGTACAACATTCGAAATGTCAAGCTTTTAATTTTCGTACATAGTAAGATTTGGATTATTTCTAAATTCTATAATGGTATAACAAATAATTTTCCTTATTATTGATTTAAATTTCCGAACTATCGAGATTCCTTCTACAAAATATTCGGTACACTACGTGTTCTATCCTATTAACCAACTTACGAAGTATCTATACTTCCCTTAATACATCAAATAATCCAATGGTCAAAGTTGCAGCGGAAAAAAATATAGATTTATCTAACACATCAGTTTTTATCTGATTTTTTACTAAATATACGTACAGGAAAATCCTGCCTGGTCTAAGGTACTAAGGGGTCCAAACATGAGTTATATGGGGCTAAATACACAAATAATTAATTAATTAATTGATAACTTTTTATTTGCGAGCGAAGACGTTATAAAAGTAATAGTATTCAGTAAAAAAGCTCGTATAACCTAAAAAAAAAAAATATTCAATATTATATGTTTTATATTGTGCCATACATACATACTTCTACATCAAAATAAAACCATTATTTTGTATTTTATTTTAGTTCCGAATGACCGTACAACATGCTTTATAATAAAAACAACTTGGGCGTACAGAAAAGTTGAGTTCAAAATACGTTATAAGAGTACATAATGTATATGTACGAAATAGATTTTCAATTCCTATTAAAATATTATAAGTTTTTAATACTGTTCCAAGATAACTATTGAAACTTGTGAATCATATTTCATATAATAATTTCGTTAACAACCAAGCGCTAGGGTTAAAGGTCCAGTGGCCAATATTTATGGTAACAGAAGGCTGCATATTAACTGTGTCCCAAAGATATAAACAAAAAAAAGTCTAATCCAAGTTGCAGACCTAATTTATTGTTTTTTGTTCAGATGAGTTGTGGCCTGATCATTTTTTTTCAAATTATTATCGTTCCCTGACAGCCAGCAATCATATAATATAAGCTTATAACATTAAAATAAATTTGTTTTTATTATTTCAAGATAATTTTCGCTTTTGGCTGATAAAATATAATGATGGTAATGACGTATGGTAAAGACACCTTAGTCGCCAAAAACGTTTCGTCATTTTTCTAATTTTGATGTACTAAAAATATTTGTAAAGCATATATTAAATTAAGTAACCAACTTATAATTCTGATGCTACAAACAATCAGGAAGAAGTACAGAAAAAAAAACTACAAAAGTTTGTATAAATATGGAAAAGAAAATAAAATTTATAACGTACAGTTTTACATTAAAATATGTTAAGTTTTGATGCACTCGAGCCACGATTCGTATTTACCCCAAGAATACTCGGACAGTGATTCGGGAGAAATTTTTACCTCGGGACGCAACTAGTAGTCACCCCAATGGGGCCCAGGCGGAAACCCTCACCCTCCTGCTGGCGACCACTTCGGCACCCAACCCCGTCCGCGTGCGTTATTAATCTGACACGAAACTGTTCTTATTCCAAAAATGAACGGATAAAATCTAGTATCTAATCACGTTCGCAGATATTATTCCTCGCCGGCACGGTGCTGTTCAAACGACCGGCCACCGGGATCGGATTGCCGATGGACCGATTGGTCTACGTCGTAAGCGGCGCGCATCTCAAGTGGAACGAACCGGGCGATCGGTTGCGGGCCACCGAGTCCGGCGAGTACGTGGCCCGGAACGTGGTGCCCACCAGAATGGCGATGGGACGCGATGGTACCATGTACCTGGCCATGCCCCGGTTCAAGAGTGGGGTGCCGTTCACATTGGGCACCGTCGAGTACGACCCATGCATGAGCACCATCGAGCCACCCATATCGCCGTATCCGTGCGCGGCTGCTCACCGATCGCAGCCGAGGTCGAATAGCAACTGGACCGTGGTCAATGTTGTGGATGTGCACATGGACGACATCGGTTTGCTGTGGGCCCTGGATGTCGGCAAGGTAAACCTGTTGGACGATGCGGTCATTATTCGACCGCCGATGGTGTTTGCGTTCGATACGGACACCGATGAGGTATGGATAAATTACAATATGATTTATATACAATTTTATATACAATGTAATACATTGATATTGTGTCATCGTTGTAATTGTTATGTTTACAATTCAGAACGAGAACACTTAAAATAATCGTAAGGCTTGCGTTTGCGGAACTACACAAAATTAATTTTGTCCTAGACAGTGATGTAATTCGGAAGAATATCAGGGGTTGCAAAAGTTAATCAGGATGCACAAACCCGTGAGGGCTTTGACTCCATACCCCCAAAATTATAAAAAAATGTTATAGTATAATCATATTATATTCTATTAATATAATGTACATGATAAATCTATATACAATGTACTCTCGATTATCCGCTGTCTTCCACGGAATCGTCTACATACCTATATCATATATATTTTATATCTAGAAGAACAAGACGATACAACTCGTGACAAAATGTTATTAAAAAAACTTCAATCACAAGTTAAAAAGAAGAGTTTTTAAACAAAGAAGCAACAACTTGTGACTGATTTTTTTGTTCGTAAATAATTTATAATTTTTATTAATTTTTCATTATACATACCTGTGTATCTTTTTTAATAATATGTAATAATAATTTTAAATTTCAAATTCCAATTTATTTTTTACTATAAAATTTAACTTTGTAGTTTATCCGTGGATGTCCTGCCATCCTATTCTACGGATAATCGAGAGTACACTGTAATTATTTTTATATATAAATAAATGTTATTAAAAACTATAAATTTAATTTTTTTATAGTTAATATATAGCCACAAACATTACTTTTATTTAAATTCAAATCACATAAACTTTTACAATTATAATGTAATTAAAACCGATATTATATAATTTATTTTTAGATTAAAACTTCTATATCGTCGTATTATCATCGATGTTATTTTCATCTCTACTTTCTCATTCTCCGACTTTTTTTATTTCATAATTATTTAACTAAATAAATACTTATTTTAACTTTTTTACTATCTAGTGATAAACCATAAATATGGAATTTTCATTATTTTAAAATAATACTTTTGCATCCAACACATTATATTTGAGGTTGCAAGTGCAACCCCTTGCGACCCCTAAATTACGCCACTAGTCCTAGATCATTCTTATACCATGTATTTTTAACGTATCTCGTAACATAATCCATATAGAAGTGGATTTGTTAATGGATAGTTAACCTGTAAGTCGTAAAAGTAACGAGTTCGGCACCGTTTAAGATTATGAAAATAATTTTACCTATATAATACTATATAGGTACGATCCAGAATTAAATATTTCTTAACTGCGGTTTTATTTTTTATTTTTTTTATTTTGTCCGAGAACAATGGCATTGTAATTAATAAATAATTTGATGATAAATAAGATGAAAATATATTATATATCTTTACATTCGTCAATATTCAATTGAATTACTAATTATATTGTAAGTTAAAACGTATTTTAATATTTAAATTTTGATAAAATAGCTCAAGGTTAGGTAATATTTTTTTCACATTGTACTAAGTATTACAGAAATTTTAATAAAGCAATACGTAATACTACTAATATAGATTTTGAGTAGAAAAATTTATTAGTTTTAATGATTTACATATTATATACGTGTCTTATATTCCTTGTGATCGGACTTTCAGATAGTAAATCTGATCTTGAATTTCTGTGCATTAATTTTTATATCAAACAATAATCGCAATTAAAAATTAATTTTTTTAATTTTATCAATATCTTTTTGAGCGTATACATCTGAAAGAACGTACAATTAATGTTAATTAAATATATTAATATTTATATAAATGTAATAAAATTAATTAATTTAACGTTCTACAATTACGATACTTATTTTAATAAATTGAGTAGTTCTGTGTTGTATGGCTTGAAAATTGAATGTAAAGTTAACCTTGCTTTTTGTTTATTTGCCGTTATTTGAAAAAGTTTTAATTAATGTACCTATAAAAATTATCTATTTCTTTATATTTCATTATATTCAATTTCTTTTATTTCTTTTATTAAATCTTAGATAAGAATAATATATTCAAAATATATTGTAAAAATTAACATAAAATGGATGAAATTAATTAAACATATTTCATTTTTTTTCATAGTGTCGAATATTAATTATAAATGAATATAATTTATCTTACTAAAATTGTATAAACAATGTTAATTATTTTTGTTTTTATACTTATTTTCTGATATTACAAATAATATATAAATTCATTGTTGTTTACTAAAATTATTACGTTATATTTTGCATTCATTTTTATTCATAAGAATAAAAATATATGATTTATAAATTAAACACTTATTAAATATTATTAAAAATTAATCGTAACATGTCAACAAAAATACTTACCAATTAATTATTACCATTCTCCAGTTTCGTATTTTAAATTTATCTCATCTAGATTGACACAAAATAAAAATCTTTTCTCTTATTTATTTCTACTGAGAAAAATTAGTGTTTTGTGTATTATATAAGTTGACATACACAGCATCGAGACTAGATAAAACTTATTACACGGGAGAAGGCATTTAATTATAATACATTCTAAATACTTAATGTAATGCGGAAATAAGAATGCTTAGATTGGATGAGTCGAGTGATAAGAGGAAATAGAATAAGGAACAAATATGTGAGAGGAAGTATTGGTGTAGCATCGATAGTGAACAAGATGAGAGAAAATAGACTGAGATGGTTTGGGCATGTGATGAAGCGAAAGGAAACAAAAGCAGTAAGATTAGATATGAAAATGAACATTGAAAGAAAAAGAGGAAGAGGAAAACCAAAAACTAGATGGTTGATAAAATTGAGAATGATAAAAAGGCTGTTTGTGTGTGCATAGGGGATATAGAAAATCAAGACAAGGGTAGCCGACCCCAAATAGTTTGGAGAAAGACAAAGAAAAAAAACGTAATGCAATGAATAAATAAAAATTTTAACTTTATAATATTTTAAAATTAATTTCCAACTAATTTTTTGTATTTGACTATGCTGTTCATTATTAAATATCTTTAACATTTTATTATAAAATCAAGTAAAATAAATACCGAAGTGAGATCAAACAGACAATATTTTATGTAATACTTTAATATTAAAACACATTTAAGAAAATTATTCTTTATGTTTCTACAAATAATGAACATCACACGTATAAAAAAAAAACATCACACGAAAATAATTTAAAATTCTTTAACTTTTCAATTTTTCAATAAAACTTTAAATTACGTTATGCTAAACGATATGGAAATGGTACGTAAACACATCTTAATAATTGAGAAAATATTTGAGAATGGGTAAAAAGTTAAAGTTTACTTAAACACTAAAATTCCTTAATAAAAAATGTGAATAAAACATTATTATTAGAAATTAAAAAAATAAAAGTCCAGACGTCATAAGATATATAACCAAGAAAAACTATGATATTTATTCATGATCTCTACTGAAAAAAATATGAATTTATAAAATATTTGTGTACTTTAATTCCATATGTAGTTTTGTCTTAAGACATTGATCTTATCACAAATTCGTAGAACATAAAGTTCAAACATATATTAAATTGGTATACCAGGTAATATGCTCGAGTTTATTCGGGCGATGTATTCAATTAAATTTTGAAACATCTGACATTTAAGTCAGTTTTCCATTTTAATTACCAATGACCCAACAAAAACATTTCATTTCTATAAAACGGTAGAGCTGCATTAATTAATTTATTTATCGAGAAATAGTGATGGTAAAAAAATAATAATTAAATTAATCAACCATCGCAGCTTGTTTTTAATGCAAATGTCACAAACATATTATGTGTTAGTTACAGACATTTTAATAGTTATATAGAATAAATATATCATCGCCCATTGAATAGGATCATTTTGACAATTAAATATTTAATGATAACCACTCCTTTTAAACCAATTATATCCGAAATGTTCATGTCAAATCAATATAAATCCTAAATATTATTGCTACTTGATAGCATTTAATTTATTGACCAACTTTGAATCTGTACAAATAAATTAAAAATAAAGAAAATAATTGTTATTCAAGTAATTTAAAAAATATAGTAACTCCATTAATATTATGATCCTAAACAAACATATTTTTTGTGTGAAAATGTAATTTTAAAATGTTTCAATGAGCAAAAATAGTACCTTGGATAGACTTCATTGGTTCCGATATCGCCCCTGTGCAAAGATAAGGCCATATTATATTTTGAATGTAAATATAAAGTGTTTAAAAAATTATATTACAGATAGTTGGAAAACTTACAAATATTTTTGTTATTCTCAACGGATACAACGAAAAATCATACACAAAACAATATCAAAATCAGGATTTATTTTTGAAATAATTTAAGGATAAAACTCAACATTTATAAAACAATTTCCCTCGTTCATTGTTTATAGAAAGAATATTTGAGTAATTTTGAGTATTCAGTTGACGATGTAGATAATGACTTACTATTATATTAGGTGATATTTTTTGACAACGGATAGAAATTCTTTAAATGTTTTAGCTTTGATATACATAATTATATATTAATATTAATTTTCAAATATACATGATTTATTAGAATTAAAATTAAAAAATTGCGTTCAACACTCTCCAAAAAACAATGGTAGGTACACACCCACACATTGGTTCCAATTCCTCGACTCCTTATAATGTACTACTAGTCATTAACTGGTAAATAAAACATTATAAATATAAACATTAAAAACTACAATGGTCATGCTCCTGTTTTAATGTTATTCAAAACTGTTTCACGTAAAATATTAAATTTTTTTTTCATTTTACTAAAGAGTAAATAACAATAGTTACTCAATATTTGCAAGATAGGATTATTGCGAGGTTAGTTGAAAAACAATCATATCCATATAAAATAAATCTTAAACTTTATTGCTTACATTTTGACCGGGGTCATTGATTTCATGATATTTCACCATGAGTTTATTGACCATAATAACACTAACTACGCTAAACTTAACTAACATACTACTGATGTTGTATTATTAATATATGTTTCAGAATAATGGATTTTTGCATAAAATTCAAGAATAATACATTATAAATATAATCAAATAGTTATCGAATTAAAAAATGAGATGGGAAACATCGAGATATTTAGAAGTAATTCTATAATAGTTGTAGGAGAAGGAGAAGAATTTATATTGTTTTCTCGATCGTAGGATTTTAAGATTTTAATCACGTTTCTATCGCGTTGTATAGGATACAGTATAGCAATGATCTGTCATATATAGAGAGTGATGCGACCTAAAAAGTTATTAGCTGCGATCATTTAATTTAATCTCCCTTTGTCTCATATACACACGTGCACAAGTTGAATTCGGTGTAATATAAACTCACTGCAAACATAAATTTCATATAATATTCATATTGATGTCATATTATAATACCTACCTATATAGGAGGATAATCGTGCATAGTTTCTAGAATGTTTTTTTTTTTTTTTTAAAAAAAACAACTAACTCTGAAATGCTTCCAGGCAGTGTAAACTCCAGATAAAAAATATTTTATCTAGATACAGTGAAAGATACATTTTTTATTTTTATCTAGTTAAACATAATAATAAAACTAAATAATAAAATTAATTAATTAATTTTTTTGCATAACAATAATGAAAAAAAAATACATATTATATTATTATTTATAGGTGAATAGGATTATTTATGTTTAAATAAAATAATTTAGTTATCTTCCAAGATCTTACTTATTGAATCAAACCATCCATAATGTTTAGACTGTAAAACTAAATTATCAAGGTATTATAACATTATGATTAAATATAAAGATTTTATTTTAAATATTAGTATTTTAAAATAATAAAAAATTTAATTTAACTAAACAAATTAGTACACCTACAGATTAGTTTATATATTTATTGGTATGGCATAGATAATGTGACTATATATATTTATATAATTTATGAATAATAATAAGCAGGTGGCAAAACAAACATAGTATTAGTACAATTATGTCAAGCGGTAAAATAAAATGTATTTAGCGACATAATAGCATAAGCAAGTTATAACATATATTATAACTATTGCATCGTTGGTAGGCTTGCTTGTTAGGACTGCGATTGTCTTCGATTTCTTAAAGATTGATGGGAGGTAGCCTAAGGCTAATATTTCATTGAAATATTTTGTGAACCATGAGATTACGCGTGAGCCACAATTCTTTATGAATTCCAGAAAAATTCCACCTATCCCAGAGGCTTTCCCATTTTTCAGATCGTTTACAGGCACTTCTATTTCTTTGAGAGAAAAATCAGGAGGCAGTTATGATTTGGATCCAGCTTTTTTAAACTATTTTAAGCTTCACAGTTCGGTGGTTATAGTCTTACTAAATTATTTTTTTATAGACACCCTGGAGGTTTTTACAATGCGATTTGCTATTATCATTAAGGTTTATATTCGGGGATTTGATTGTTTTAATGAGAATAAGGATCCAATTTTCTTAGTAGCAACCAAGCTTTTCTAATAAAGAATTTATAATCTAAGCTTTCCATCTTTGTCAGCCACCTTCTTTGGGAGAGGAAATTTTAATTTTCATGCTATATCACTATTTATTGTTTTATTAAAGAGGTTAAATAACCTAGTAAATTCCGAGATGTATTTCTTGCGCTATCCTCTCGGAAAATGTATCTTTGCTGTTGCAATAACTAGATTAGTGAAGCGAAAGTAATTTTAAAAATTAGAAGGACCCTTCTTATGTCATTATCAAATTGTGGCTTGAAGTTAATCCAATCACCTTTTTGAAAATTCCGTCTTGGTTTTGAAATGAGGGAATATTTGGTACTTATAAGCCTATATTGAGAATAACTGGTCTATGTTGGCTACAGTGAAACGCTGATATGACTATTCTGTTAATACCTAGTGGTTTGTGTTCGAGATCTCTTGTAACAAAACATAGATCAGGATTATAACCTTTTTCCCAGCAACCAGAATGAAAGGTCCCTATTTTTTTAGCATCAAACACCAGGTAAAGGTTGTTATTAGAAGACCACTTATAGATTTTCTCACAATTTTCATAGTAACCCCATAATTGGTGATAACTATTAAAATCACATGAAAACAGTCAGGTGTTCTAAAATTGCAGGGTGTTTGTTGACCAGCTTATATTTGGTGGTTTGTAAATATTCTGTATGATGATTCCGGCTACTTTAATTGTAATTATTGAGATTTCCTGTATTTCAAGAATCTCTACAGATTACCAGTCGTTAATAGTTTCTCTTAAATATGTTTAAAATCCGTACCTGCGATCGTAAGTCGCAGCGGCTGTCAAAAAATCTGTTATGTATTCTCTAGCTCATAATTTTTCTTTGTTTGAGACATAAGTATCCTCAGGTAAAATCATATCGATTTTATGTAGAGATAGCAGTTTAGTGAGGTAGCCTAATTTTGCTCAGATTATACCTCCAATATTCAGTTTGAGAATTCAAAATTGAGGGCCACATTCTGAGTTCGGTCGAACTGAAATGAACTGTTTTTTGTGACTCCGACCTATGAGGATGGGAGTTCATTGTTTATCATGAGGTAAAAAAGAAAAACTACAGATAAAATTGCCAAAAGTTGATAGAACTTTAGCCGTCTATGACGTTCCCTTTTTATGAAAAACCTACTTTTAAATCATTAATGATATTATCTGATAATAGAATAAATATATCTAGTTTATAATAATCTTCTGTGTTATTGTTATCTGTGTTATCTGGATAATTTGAACAATTTTTTTATCTTAAACAATTCCTTGGAAGTTTTCTTGACTTAAAAGCAATAAACTTGTAAAAAACTTAAAATAAACTTGTGTAAGCATATCTGAAAAACTATTATACATAATGAAACAATAATTTCACTGTCACATAATACTGTTGATAGTGATTTAGCTTTTCCAGGAGGATTCATCTTTTAATGATATTATTACTTACAATACATTAATAATGTTATGCATATCTTACATAAAACTCATTACTCCTTCAGTCTTTCGATGTTTTCATCTCGTTTCACAAAAGTCAATTAATTTATGTCCAACAAATATACTTCAAACAACTGTTTTTTTAGATGATACAGAAAAAGATGTTACAGTCTCTTTCAGAAAACTGTAACATTATTATCACTCCAATAAGATTCCTGATACTTTTGACGCATGAAGAATATGATATAGAATTATTTAGGAAATGATTATTACAAGAGCATCTGCGGACATCAAGTGCTATTTTAATGATTTCACAAACAAGTTCTGACACCTTCTGACACCATTATGCTACATCCATTAGTTCCTACGCCCTTACATTTACCAAACCAAGACTAATACTATTTATTTGTTAGTAATTTCACCTAGTACAACTCCAACTATTGAAATTGATTTTTTTTCTACTTTCTTTGTAATCTTTAGATTCCTCTAGTAAAGTCAAAACTTCATCAAAAACATCGATAAAATGTATGAAATCTTTTTGACTTAATCGTTATAAATACATTTTAAAACCAAATTTACTTGTGAACATTTAGACACATAAATTAATAAATGTAACTATCTGCAAAGCAATGTGTTTATTATTTAATTTGCATAAAATCTAAAAATAACAGCCCAATCTATAATTAAAATATAATTTTTATAATTTTTTGACATAATAATATAAATGTTTAAGTTTTTTTTCATAATATTTAGGGAGGGGTAATCGCTCCCATAACCCCCTTGTATTTCGGCTTGCTTACATGGGAGAAAGGGTCCTAAATCTCAAATCTGATGTTAGCTAAATTTCTTTTAAAATTCGAATTAACGCGTGAAAAAAAGCGAGTGTTGATGTACTACAGACAGCATCGGAAACGTATTTTTATTATTTTCTTTATTTTGTTAATTTAATAATTTCATTTTTTAATGAGAATAAAATAATGTAGCAGGATCTACGAAAAATGTTGACGTAAGATTGTAGGGGGAGGTTCAAAAATGTTAAAAAAAAAAAGTGAGGACGTAATACTTGAATACTCACTTAGTCTGCGTGTTTGAATTATTTGATACAACATTGCAATGGGAGTGTAAATCATAACGCTCAATTATATAATAATAATTATGTACGCAGGTAGTGCGGGCAATCGACTTGTCACGTGTGACGATGGTGACCAGCTGTTTGCAATCGATCGTGGTGGATCGTAACACGGCCACCGGCCGTCAGTTCGTGTACGTGGCGGACGCCGGCCTGGGCAACGTGATCGTGTACGACGTGGGCTGCGACCGTTCGTTTAAGGTACACGTGCCAGTGGGCCCGTGTGGTCGACGGGACGTCATGTACATGGCCCTGGCCAAGGCGCACGTGATGGACGTGGCCGCGGGTGGTGGCGTGGCGCATCACCAGCGGCTGTACGTCACGTACTTGTCGTCATGCGAGATGATGTACGTGCCGGTGGACGCGGTGGACGAGTCCACCGTGAGCCTGGCCACCGTGAATATCGGTCGGAAACCATGCAAGATGATCGTGTTAGGCACTGACCATGGATCCGTTGTCTACTTCCGAACCGGCGACACCAGTGACATTCGGAGTTGGAACGTGAACAAACCCTTACACGAGAAAAACTTTAGGTAAAATCCGTCACCGTTGCCACGAGCAGGCGAGTACATATCTTCTACATACATTATGCATCGGCCATCTAAAATATATACCGCATCTTGTTGGTTTCCCACGGGTGTACATACACGTAAACATGTACACACACATACACGCGTGCGCACGGGACACGCCATATATTCAGTTAACTCAGTTCAGTGTTTCAAGAACGCATTATTAATAGATTTCCTGCTTTTTATTTTTTTGAAGGATGAAAACTCATTTTTTTTTAGATTATATTAAATGTAAGCTAACGTTCAGTATATTAGATATTTTTTTACCCTTTGAAAACCGATGTCAGACCCGATATAATACATCAGTAGAAAAAATATAGACAGGTATTTTTAATCGCTACCTATATAGGTACTTTCAGTACTCTATTCTAACGATGTTATTCTATTTGCTGTCTACACGTACCTAGTACGCACGCATTATAAACGACTACGAAGCGTCGCATGTCAAACATAATAAATCATTTATCGATGTACATTACATATAACATCATATTTTTCAACATTTTTGCCAACCGGTTACCATTAGTCCATCGACTATTGGTAAAATATAATCGTAATATTTTACCACATAACTAATATACCTGAAACATAATGATTATTAATATGTATTTATGTCGTTAAAAATGAGCAGAAAATTAAAACGAATTTCTTATTTTTAATTCTGGATGCACCGATGGCCCCTTTTCACAATTTTTCACGAAAAGCATCTTCAATTCAACCAATATCCTGTGTCGATTATAATATCATAGTATTCATAGCTTTCAAACAAGTTTTACATAGGTCTGTAGTTTAAATATTGTACTACCATCCCGTATTTTTTCCTAAAAATTCGTACTACATATTTTTTAATATATAATAATGATATGATACAGAGCATCCCTAAACCACTTTAATATAATTATAATTTTTTAGTACAGTGTTAGTAAACATGTTTTGTAATAATTCTTTTTTATTAATCAAATTGGGTATTTTAATTAGGAAACTACCAATCTGTTATTATTTTTTAAACTGAAAATATACTTATGTCTTGTATACATTTGAAAACTAATAACAAATTATTTATTTTAATTTGGGATGTTAAGCTTAAAATGTAATAGATATATTTAAGTTTTTATCAGCTGTCTTGCTTAAAATAGCTTCTTAAAAAACAACTTCATAGTATTCTTAATTAATAGTATTTAGTAGGTACACACTTCTCAAATCCTTAGTACATACTTCCAATTTCGGATTACACACTTTGTGTCGGGGTTCACTAAAAAATAGAGGCTGGTTACTACTCGTAATTAAATATGTAACATCCACGAAATAAAATCGAAATCTTCATGAATTGGATTTCCTCATATCAAAAATCACCTAGAATGTTGATGAAAATATAACGAGAACATCCATTTCGTGAAATGGAGAAATGTAATAGTAACTTATTGTTAATTTGTTATTGTTTTAAAACTTATAGGTAATCTATAAATATTTAATTATATTATGGTACATTTATATCTAAGTCTAATTAATTTAATAATATCAGATCATTATAATTTTATATTGTGTTTTATTACTTGCACCTCCACACAACTCCGCCCCTTGGACTTTCGGTAGGTACACCATGTTTATAATGAAACTGTATTTAATCGTTTTTCATATCATGTAAAATATTTTCTGTTACCTAAAATTTCATAGCAGTTATAATAATGATAACGATTTGGCATATATTTTGATTAAAATTGTTCGCTTTTGAAACAGATTTTAAGACAAACTATTAATGGCAACTCTACCGTTTGTTATAAATTTCAGTGGCGAATTCTCCAGGCATGCTCAGCATGCGCCGCATGCTTAAGAATAAAACCGTTATTAATCAAAATACAAAAATTATATTGTAATCAATAATATATTATAATAATGTAGTTTAATTCTGTTATACTTTGTAACATTTAATGACAGAGCATGCGATAGACGTGTGCGCAAGCTATACGATGCTTGTTACCGCTGTAAAATACCAGTTATTCCGAGACCACCTCTACTAGTAGCCGCGGTATTTATTACCCAGGGCATGCTCATTCCGTTGCGCTTCGTCAATGTCGTAATTTATCAAATTTACGTGTACTCGTATGACAATTTTTCTGCGTTTTGTTTTATTGTGCTATTTTTTAATATTGTTTAGTTAGTTAAATATTATTTAAGTAAGTGTTATTGTATATATATTAAATTAAAGTCTTATTAATAAATCAATACAAATTTGTGTATTATTTATTAATTATAAATGAAATACAACTATAAAACATTATGACAAATGAGCATGCCCATACATCAGAGTTAGCATTCGTCACTGATAAATTGTATTTTATATTTTAAAAACAATGTTACTCGGTGGTAACAAAAATTCGAAACTGTTATTTCCAATAGTTCAAATATTAGTAATTTAAACCACAATACGGGTAAATATAAAAAAATAAGAAAACAATACACAGTTAAAACGATCGAAAAGAATTGAATGTGGGGAAATATCATACCTGCGGCATTGTTGCAGCTCTTACGTACACCGGCTAAGGGTAAAAACATGGAAACGTAATAATACGCCACACTTTTCATGGGTAGGAACAAAGTTATACTCGTATTGCTCACGCAATTATAAATAAATAATGTGGTGCGTGTGCGAACGGAGTGCGTATGGTGTACACGGTATTTGCTGGTCGTTAACGTGTATACAGATGTGATTGCGTACACTAACTGCGTAGGTCACCCAAACATTGTAAGGCATAATGTCTTATTCCGAGATAATAGTACGACGGTGGATTGTTTCACCGTTGAAATATCAAACAACGTTTTGAAAATACAACTGCGGCGGCGAACATTAATTCGTGAACCCGCTTGTTTGTACAGTAACGCATAAGCCCGGCATGTGGCTCACATCCTGTGTAAGCCCGGATAAATCCACCGAGCGCGTATTACGTATTTATGCATACACAGATTATTATTGGTTAGTGTGGACGAATGTGTAGCGTCGTGTTACATGGTGTATACCGTGCGTATTGCGTTCAAAAGTTTAAAGTTTTAGTTCATGCAAAACACGGTACAACATCACCGCACGCAGCCGTTGCTGATACTGCTGCAGTTATTATTTAGTATTATTATTATCATTTTTACCGCCTACACCCGCAAAAACTAAACATTCCACCCCCTCCCCCTATAACCAGAATAAAAATATAGTTAGCAATGTCAATTATGATTGTTCATCAATTGTATTGTTTTATCTTTTTTTTTAACAACACATTTTTCGTCCATCTGGTGATCGGTTCATTTTCCCTTACCTCTCATGAAATTTATTAAATGACCTCACAGCTGTAAATATTAGGATTGACTTTAGTCGAACATGGCAACTATCGCTTTTTTCCTTCGCTTTTCCTAACACAAATAATAAATTAACTTCATCGGTTGTCTCAACCTGTGATATGTATTAAAAAAACATCAAATCAGCTTCGTCAAATTATCAAATTATAAAGGAACACGCATATTGTCCATGGGTTACGATAAACAATAAGCGATTTTTGTTGAGTCGACTACGGAAATCGCAAATTCTATCTTTTATTTCATATTTCTTGTAGTTTTATTTTAATTTTGAGGTCATTTTTTACACATTATTAATAATTTAGAATGCAATGGATTTATTATTTACATTTAAGTAGGTATAAAAAACTAACCTACAATATAGGACACATTTTTTTATAATCTTCATCTTAAATTTTATTTTGTCCTAGGTCTTTTTATGTTTAAAAAACAAACCATAGAATAATTATTTAAATATTAAATCAAGTAACAGTTTAACTTTTTTTATATATAAGTAAACAGATCATACTAATTATTATTTTTTTTAATAAATGTGCCGACTGGAATTCTGGGTTTTACAAAATATAACGTCAGGCCAGTTTCAATTTATATTTATATATATATTTTATTTTCACTCCAAAATTATCATTCCGTATTTCACAATCCTTCTATGTATTATATGCTACAAACACTTAAGAACAATATATAAATATTATTTACCTACCCAACACGAATGTGATGTCATAGAAGAATGTAAAATATAATTTGGACGAACAGGTAACCAACGTAAAAGTACTGGAAAGAGTATCAGAAGGCAAGTTACAGAAGAAAAAATATAGTTAGAACACGAAATGAATGGATAGGATATCATGAAACATGAAGGATCATTAAAACTGATTATAGAAGAAAAGAACCATATGGGAAGTCCAAAATTAGAATTCATTCAACAGATAATAAAGAATCAAGGACAGGGCCGTATTTAAGGGGGAGCTACAGGGTGCTGTTGACCCAGGTGGCTGAATATGAGAGAGCTGCTAATTTTTTTATATTTTCAATATTTAATGATCTAATATTTTTCAAGTAAAACTTTTTTACAAAATAAAATGTGTATCTCAAAAAAAAATATATATATATCACCAATCACAGCGTGACGACACACATACACATACTCGGTAACGGTCGAGTACTGTCGATATATTCAAAGATTTACAAACAATATATTCTTATGTTGACATTGCACTTAGAATGTTTTTGTGTACACCAACAACGAATTGTTTGTCAGAAAGATCTTTTTCAACCCGCAGAAATTTGTATTTGATATAATGAAGCGTTTTTTATTGTTGCCCTCTGGTGTCAAATTCCTAAATACGGCCTTGATCAAGGATATGACTCATTTGTAAAAATTAAAAGGAAGGCGGATAAGAAAGAAGAATGAAAGATGGTTACAAACCAATCTACGGATTGAAACCATTAAGAGAGAGACCCAAAACAAATAAATATAACGTAAGAGTACGAGTATATGAAAGTATGAAACTGTATTATACGTTTGAATATAATTGTAATAAAATATATTGACTTTAATTTTCACAATCTAAAAACATCTGAATTTGTTTTTACTATAGGCTGATAATTGGTACATTCAT